CGAAATTAAACTACCAGCACTTCTGAGGTAAGTTTTTCCAGGATTATTTGTATTATTCCTCACAGCATAGCAAGACGATGTAAAGTAAATGATTCTTATTAAACTTGATGTGTTTTATCCAGCTGTTGTGGGCGTTCACACGTTTGCGTGGCTTGCCTCAGATTATTTGCGTTTGAATAGCGCGCGCATTCAGGATCTCTTTTCATACAGATTACATAAACTGACAATATTTGTTTTTTATATAAATTACTTCATTTAAAAGACGAGAATTCAAGCTTCATGCCTGTGTGGCTGTATTCCTGCTTGACTGAATATTCGCTGAGTTACAGTTCATTTTCGGACGCATTTCAGAATGGACTTCACTGAGAGAGAGAACGCAGAACTCGCATCATGTTTTTTTTTTTTTTTTTTTTTTGGCGAAAAGCACAACACTTTGTTTTTATTGTGAGTATCCACAAAAAAATGGACACTTAACAGGATCTAATGATGTACAACACTTATATGTAAGATCAAAATCAACAGAGTATTTTGAGTCTCTTTTGCACTGATAAGAAAAAAACTGAGCTGGTATCGCCGGCGCGACCGCCAACCCCAGAGGGTGAATGAAAATTTGTGTATTTAAATATAGCATAAACATTTACGTAAATTGATACATTGTTGTACATGGTACAGTAGGTAGTTAACCAGAATGCCTATTACCGCCACGCTAGCTGCCATGGCAAAGTCACCGCTGCAAGAATAATTCAGTCGCATTTCAAAGTCGTTCGCGAAATGACCCCCAGGAGGCGCAAAGGGGCATTTTGCAAAACAGCAGCAATTGCTGCATTTTGAAACGTAAGTGGGGCTAATGTCAATTAACCATACCTGTCAAGTTTTGGATTTGAAAATAAGGGAAATTTTCCGGCGCCCACCGCAAGCAGTCCCACCACCCCAACCAAGCTCCAGTATCCCTTACATTTTAAGACAGGTGTTATAGCCTAAATGAAAACACACACACATATATATAGCTATATATGTATGGTATATATAGGGTATATATTAAGAGCATTTATTTAAAGGCTTATTTGCATATTTTCTGTTCATTTAACATTGCTTGTCTTTACATTTACATTTTATTTTCATTCCACACATTATTTTCATTTCATATTGCTTTTCTTTTACAGTTTTTCTTTTCATTTGCAGTTTTTCTTTTCTTTACTCTTTTAGTGAGTTATTGAACAAATTTGTTGCAGACTTTGTATTAACTGTTTTGGAAGGAGTGTATTTGTGGGCTGGGCCAGAGTGGTTAATTTTACATGAGAGTAGAGCAAACAGTTCTGTTGTCTAACGTCATCCTATTCTCTGTAACAATCGTTCGTACCATGCTAAACACCCTTTCTCGTGCTGACATACATCATTCCTTCCCCGTGTGAGATGCTAAAGTCGCAGTTACAAAACTTACAAAACGCGTGACTGTCCCCCACCCTGCTCCTCTTCAGAAAAGTACATTTGCTATCCCATTGATCGCGGTATTTAGTACATGAGGGTTTTGTTTTTTTGGCAGGAGTGCCTTGCTCTGTCATAGCGTCCATCATCCGTCTCTGTTTTTGTTTGTTTTTTGTTTTCCCCGCGTTGTCACTCATCATCTGACCTCACATACTAACCTCGCGACAACTGCCACCTACAGTACCTGTAGTTATCGCGAGGCTAGTGACAGAGCTCAGATTGGGAATGTTTTTTTTTTTTATTCCGCCCGGGGTATTATTATTTTTCAATAACGCAGGTTAAAAAACGGGAGATTTACGGGAAAATCCTAATACGGGAGGACGGCGGGAAAGAAAGGTAAAATACGGGACTTTCCCGGCCAAAACGGGATACTTGACAGGTATGCAATTAACATTAAGGATGAAATACTATAACTATGGTAATTTCCAAATAATCCTACAACAAACATGAAAAAAAAAAAAGCTATTGACATTTGCTGTACAATAATGAAACAACCTAAGATTTTGTGGAGTTGAAACTGCATGTTATAAAGTATTAATGTATAAAGTATTAATTTTATTATTACTTATTTTATTATTATTAATAAATAAATAAAATTTGGTTAATGTTGTTTAAACAAACGATACATAAATATAGACTATTATTTGAACGAACAGTGAACTATAATATATCTCTGATTGTAGGCTATCTGTTTATTTTTTTTAAAAAACAGCACAAGGTCTTGTAAACAAAACTTTTTTCATTATTTCAACAAGAATGAGACTGATTTACATATGTAAAAAAAAAAAAAAAAAAAAAAAAAGAAAATAGATCAAAATTTTAAAACCATTTTTTTCTTAAATATGCCTATTAGGCTACAACAGAATTGGTTAAATTTAACGAAAGCAAAAATTAAATATGTAAAAGTACATTTTAAACAGAATAGAACAAACTTTTAGAACAGAAAAATAGAATCAAAAGTTAAAAATAGAGACGACAACAATATAGCCTATATTTCATATTGTAGATGTCGGTGGGCAACAGAAGCCTATTCCTCAGGGGAACAGTGCAATAACAAACAAAGAAACAAAAAAAATACACCAAAAGACCATTATAGGCATATCTCGCAGTCAGTGAAAATAAATTCGGTGCAATGACGCTGATTATTTTTACTATTCTATTGAGGAATGAGACAAATGAATAGCTCTTCTCTCTCATGTGAGCGAACACACTGACTGCTGGACAACTGAACTTCTGGGCTTTCTTGTAAATTCATGGTCGAGTGGTATAACTTAGGTTTCAATCATTTAGATGACACGGGTTCAAATCCCGAAAAAACATGGGCTACTGTACATTTTTTATTATTATTAATGGAGAGAGATTTGTCTAGTTTTAAAACTCTGTTACACCATATAGTTTTTTTTGTTTGTTTTTTTGCTTATATTTATAAAATAAAATGACCATGCATTTCCATTTTACACCAAGGAACAAATATTATACAACAGAATGACTGAATTTACATTTGTATAATAATTCCAATCGTAATTTCAAAAACAGGTATGTTAAAAATAGAGGGGAAAAAACTTTATGGGGTTCCCTATACAGAGAGAGTTTTTAAAGAATATGGTTGTAAGCAAAGTGCGATTTGCCTGGGGAACGGGGATTTCCATTTGGTCTAAATATCCCTGCTTATTTTTACCCCCCCACACCACAGTAATCAATGCTATACTTCACCAATAGACCATGTAAAATATTTAAAATAAAGATATGCAACACGCACGTTTAAACAACAAACAATAAATTCAGAACCAGCGCTTCTGCTCCTGTATTGAGAGATAATATTATGCAGCGCGTTTCAGTTACGATCCTGGTTCCAGTGACCTTAATGCATGCACGGCTTTTCAAAATGTCACAAAGCATTTTGGGATTGTTTTGAATGAAATATTGAAGTTTATAAGTATTCTGACATGTTGAATTAGTGTTCGACAGACGAGGCGGTGCTTTCATTTGGATCTATTTTTCTCATAACAGCTAAAACAACTTAATATACTCCACAATTTTTTGGTCTTACAGATAAGAGTACATCATTCAAAACTGTAAACTTTTATTCATGCCAGAATAGGCTAATGACAAAACGTTTTCTGTGGTCTCTGTCTCCGGGAACTGCGCGTCACAAAAAGGAAATTAAAGTTTGTAAAATTTGTAAAAGTATTATTTTGGTTTAGTACCAACTGTACATAATGCATTAACAAATTTTAACAAATTGAACCTTATTGCAAAGTTGTAGCAAATGTAGTAAAAACATTTTTCCCTAAGCAATACCAGTGGAAATGTTAAAAGATTTTTGAAGCCTTTATATGTAAATTGTGTATTCATGAATTGATGTTAAAAAATAAACCTACACTGAAAAATTAAAGGAATTAAAAGTTCTGACATCTTGCCCCATCCTGCTTTACATGGACGCCTTGAAACAATGCTTCATATGATATTTAATGGTGGTGCTGCTCTCAAGTGGTGGTGACTGACTATTGCAGCTCTCACATTCACAGAACTGTGGAGGTTACTTGAGGTTCAGAAAAAAAAAGAAAAAAAAACTTTAGGTTTAGAATTAAATTATTGCCAACTTAATTGATGAGAAAGAGATTCTGCTGAATAGATCTGACCTGTATACCTAAATTCTTAGTCTAACAATAATTGCTGCTCACAACAATAATTTATATTGACTGTAATTCGAATAATTCACATTCACCATAGAGATGTAATGGTCTATGTTGGCTATTATTATATGGTACTTGCATGTTTTCCTGCATTTTACTGCTCTGCCAAAACTGAATACATCTAATTTAATGGCTTTGATGGAGGCAGTATAATAGATCTATGTGTACTTTAAATCATAATGCCTTCATTTTATTTTATGATTTAAAGTACACATAGATCTATTATACTGCCTCCATCAAAGCCATTAAATTAGATTTATTCAGTGAATTGTCAAAACATACATTGTAATTGTCAGTGGCTTACAGCTTTAGCAGCATTACGTGGTTTGTATTAGTTTGGTAAAACTGGTAAACACCCTGTATTTTTGTGTATGCAAGGGCTAAATGTTGTTATGCATCTTAATACTGCAATATGTTTTATATATGGATTTGTTTCCAATAAGGAGTTGGTGGGCTGGGTGGGCAGGATGGGCCGGGCGAGGTGGGATGAGGTAGAGCTTTAGTGCGAGTGAATGTATATATGTGCTGTATTATCTTTGTCTTTGTCTCGAGGACCCCCTCGAAAACGAGATGTTTCATCTCAAGGGGTTATCCTCAACAATAAAATTCAAATTCAATTCAAATTCTTTGTATGGTCGACCTTACTTCAAATGACAATTTAAAAACATTTCGAGTTTGAGTCAGATCTTAGACTAGACAGCCTAGTCTGTGGCACATAGAGTACATTCAGGCAAATGATTTACTGTTGTGTTCAGGATCATGTTGGGATATTGCAATGTCTAGATTGTTTAAAAAAAAAAGACAAAAGAGGATGAGGTATTCATTTTCATGTCTGGTTTATTCTACAGAACTACAGAAGAGATTGTCCAAGCAATCAATGTTTAGAGAGATCCATCTAATATTTTCACTCTTCATCAGCCCCCTTCTGTTTGGAAGAAAAAGGAAAAAAATGTTAAAGGTAAGCTGATCCCGTTCAAAATGGCTTAAACTCTACACCGCTAATCGATATGGATGCTTGTTTGTTTTTTCAATAGCCACACTTGTTAAATAGTAAAATGCATTTCATCAAGTGTAGTTCTTGAAACTTCTTGCTAATCATATCTTAAAGTCACTAAGGGTGTGTTCACACTTGTAGTTCGGTTTGCTTGGTTCTTTTGGTCCGGACCATAAAAAACCTAAAAAAAACATTTAGTTCAAGTCCGCTTAGCATTCAGATTGGCATTTTTAACACCAAACCTAAAGATACAGAACCTAAAGGCATAGGGATACGTGCACAACCTGATTGGTCGGCTTTTATGGCGTATTGCCTATTTTGTGACGGAACGTAGCGAACATTCAAAACAATGCTGTGTGCTGGGCTAAATGTGCTCGTTGTATATTGCTTAGCCTACATATGACGGTATTTTGACCAGCTGACAACTCGTGAAGAGCTTATAAAATGTGTTTCAAACGGAGTCAAAACAGCGGAAGATCTGCTACACAAACGAAGATCTGCTGCTAGGAGACAGTTCTGATGCCTTTACCGAATTGTGATGGCAGCATCACGACTATAACAAGAAAAAACAGGTATGCATTCAGCATGCGTCAGCATTCTGTCCTTTTTAGGGTCTCATCTTCCTGTTGTTGGTTTGTTTACATGTCTTTGGTCTGTGTTGCATTCATATTTCGTTCGAACCCTACCAGAGTTTGTTTGGAATCGGACCAAGACCCATCTTTTCAGCGGTCTCGGTCCGCTTGTTTGGTGCACACCAGGGTTCGGATGGCAGCATTCACACTTATTTAAATTAACCGCACTAACAGAGCAATCGCACCAGGGTTCGTTTTAATCAAACCAAACATGCCAAATGTGAACACAACCTAAAAAGTGCAGATATAGATTTGAACTATCAAGTCGACTTAACTGTGACTATTTATTTGTGGCTTTTCTGAGATTTTTATTTTTGTGACCAAAATCACTTGTTTTAAATGCCTACTCTTACCTTGGATCCTGTATCACGGCTCTTGGCTCTCAGCTTGTTGACCTGAGATTCAGCAATATCAGCCCTCTCCTCTGCCTCATCCAGCTCATGCTGTATCTTACGGAACTTGCCCAGATTGGAATTGGCTTGTTCTTCCTAAAGATTACGCACAACATCATTTGTGAAAATCAAAAGATACAATTACAGAAGTCGTATCATATGATGGCATCAGTGGGGGAAAATACTCACCGCATCCTCAACAGATCTCTTGTAGGATTTGACCTTCAGCTGGAGTTTGTCCACCAGATCCTGCAGACGAGCCAGATTCTTTCGGTCTTCCTCAGTCTATGCAAAGCAAAAATGTTTTTAGCATATACAATATACACTTAAATACTGTAAGACAGCACTTTGTTTTTTGAATAAATAACATGATCAAATTAATCAGGGGCAAAATTGTTATTAAGCAACATTTTTCCTACCTGGTAGGTGAGCTCCTTGATACGTCTCTCATATTTACGAATCCCCTTGACCGAGTCACTGGCCTTTCTTTGTTCTATCTCCACCTCACTTTCCAGCTCTCTCACCTAACAGATGTGTAACAATTTTAGTATGAAAAATGTAAAGTTAAAAGAAAGCATTTATCAGAAAACTTTGTACTTGTTCTTAAAAACATCAGCATATTACCCTGGCTTCCAGTTTCTGGATCTGCTTCTTGCCTCCCTTCATGGCGATCTGTTCAGCCTCATCCAGACGGTGCTGCAGGTCCTTGATGGTCTGGTCCATGTTCTTCTTCATGCGCTCCAGATGAGCACTGGTGTCCTGCTCCTTCTTCAGCTCCTCTGCCATCATGGCAGCATCAGTGATGGCCTTCTTGGCTTTTTCCTCAGCATTCCTGCACTCCTGCACTGCCTCCTCAACCTCAGTTTGAAGCTGAGTATTATCTCCCTCCAGCTTCTTCTTCTGATTCAGCAGGCTGGTGTTCTGAACATGAACAATATTGACATTCATGTAGTCTAGTTGATATTGATACTAAGAATGGGTTGAAAGGTTTTATTTGTCTAATGCAGATGTGTCATACCTGAGAATGCAGGAGCTGAACTCTCTCACTGACATCCAGCAGTTCCTGCTCAGCCAGTTTCCTTCCTCTCTCAGTTTGTTCCAGCATGGATCTCAACTCATCTAGTTCAGCCTGCAGCAGATTGTTGCGTCTCTCCACAATGGCGATGTTCTCTTTGAGATCATCATTACTACGAAGAGCGTCATCTAGTTGCAGTTGGGCATCCTGTAAAGTACAAGTTTTACAAATAAAAAGACTGAAGAACTATGTTGGATTTCACCTAAGCATCATAAAATCTTGATTTGAAGATTCGTCATACTTTGAGATGTCCATGAAGACCCTTGAGTTGCTTCTGGGCTTCTGATGCCTGTCTGTTAGCCTGGCTGAGCTGAATCTCCATCTCATTGAGGTCTCCCTCCATCTTCTTCTTCAGTCTGAGAGCTTCATTCCTGCTGCGAGTCTCTGATTCCAGTGAGCTTTGCAGGGTATCCACCATTCTCTGCAAGTTCCTCTTGGTCTGCTCCATCTCTTCGTCTTTCTCAGCCAGCTTACGTTCAATATCAGCTTTGACCTGATTGAACTCCAGCTGAGCTCTAAGTATCTTGCCTTCCTCGTGTTCAAGGGAACCCTATAAAGAGTAAAATGGGTGTTTGTTATAATTTAGATTTAAAGTTTTTGTTTAGCCCTGTGTTTTGGGGTGGGAGGTGACCTCCCTTAAAATAATCTGGAATGATCAATTGCTTTAAACAACAGCTTGATTTAAATCAAAGAGTTGTCAAATGAATAAGAACTTTGGGGAAAATGGTTGTTCTTTTACCTCAGCCTCTTCGAGAGCAGTTTGTATCTCTTGTTTCTCCTGCTCCAGTTGTTTTCGCCTTTTCTCCAGCTCATGAATATTCTTCCCACTCTCACCAAGTTGCCCAGTGAGGTCAGAAATTTCCTCTGTGCAATAGAAATAATATGTGAGCTCACAAATACAAGCAATTAAAGTAATGGTTTGGAGTTGTAAAACCACTCTTACCTTGGAGATTCTTGTTCTCCCTCTTCATGCTCTCCAGGTGGTCCAATGACTCCTCATACGAGTTTTTCAATTTAAAGAGTTCAGTGCTCAGAGATCTAGCTTCTTTTTGCGCACTTTCCAGTTCACTTTGGGACTCCTCATACTTCTGTTTCCACTCAGCCAAGACCTGGTTAAATTTAACAAGGCCAAAATAACCAATGAGACATTTTGGTCAAATGGTTTAGTGGTAAAGAATAGACCCTAAAGTACTAGACCCTATCCATAGTTAGAAACTTACGTTTACTATCAATTTAACATTGAACATTTTCGATGCTACTTGATATTTTATATTGTAACATTTTTCATGGCTGATTTTTCCAGCTAATGACAAAATGTACTTTCTCTCCTTACTTTATCAAAGTTTCTTTGCTTCTTGTCCAGAGCAGCAGCAGCAGCATTGGATCTTTCCACATCCACCATGAGATCTTCAATCTCATTCTGCAGCCTGTGCTTGGTCTTCTCCAGAGAGGAGCATTTAGCATTAACAGCTTCCACAGCTTCTTCTGCATCTTGCAGACGCTGAGTCAGCTTTTTCCTGTAATAATCAAATTACAAAATATAGTGAACATCAGAAGCATTATTCATTAAACTGTATTTAAATGTATTTTATAGGCCACAAACTATAGCAGAAATTTTAGAAAAGTGTCTAATCACTAAAGACAAGACTTTTAAATGTTATTTGTTTCTTACTTTGCTTCCTCCAGCTCCTCAGTCCTCTGGATGGCATCAGTTTCATACTTGGTTCTCCACTGAGCCACTTCAGAGTTTGCCTTGGACAGACTACGCTGCAGTTCAGCCTTGGCTTCTTGCTCCTCTTCATATTGCTCCCTCAGCAGATCAGCATCATGACGAGCAGACTGAACTGCATGGGCCAGGGCATTCTTAGCCTAAAGACAAACAAATATTTGGGGCCAGTTGTTTATTACAATAGTGGATTTTATAGATAAAGAAGGAGATTTTGAAAACCTTGATTTCTTCTTCAAGCTGTCTCTTGAGGTCTTCAATTTGCTGAGTGTTGGATTGTTTGCCTCTGGTTAACTGAGTCACCAGGGAGTTTTTCTCCTCAAGCTGTCTGGCAAGTTCACCTAACATGCAATATTAAAAAATATTGACTTTTTTCCAAGTATCATTATGGTACAGTTTGTAACATAACACAATATTTTGTGTTCTTACCATTTTCAGTTTGCAGCTTGGATTTTTGCATGGTAAAATCATTGATTGTGCGCTGACCTTCCTCAGCCTTGGTTCTGTACTCACTCATCTGGTCTTCCAGAGTTCTGCACATTTTCTCCAGGTTTGTCTTGAGGATAAATCGTATCATACTTGATTGCTTTCTTTGACTGACAACACATAATTTATAGACTCTAAGCATAATTTCTCTCACTCACCTTTGCCTTTGCAAGCTGCTCCATGTTGGAGACCACATCGTCCAGTTCCAGTTTGAGTTCACTCTTCTCTTTCTCCAGCTTCTGCTTCACTCTCTGGAGGTTGTCAATCTGCTCCCCCAGATCAGCCACACTGTCTGCATGTTTCTTCCTCAGTGTAGCCGCAGTGGCCTCATGTTGCAGAGTGGACTCTTCAAGGTCTCTGCGCAGTTTCTGGAACTCAGCTTCACGTTTCTTGTTCATCTCAATCTGGGAAACAGTGGCTCCACCAGCCTCCTCCAACCTCTCACTGATGTCCTCCAGTTCTCTGGACAGATCAGCTCTCTGTTTCTCAACTTTAGCGCGAGCTGCTCTCTCAGCCTCCAGCTCTTCCTCAAGCTCTTCAATTCTGGCCTAGTAATGTGCATAAATTCAAAATTAAGGTTACATTTTCTAACAATCCAACTGTCTATCTTATTAAAACATATAAAGTTTACCTGCAACTCTTTCAGTTTTTTCTGGAGTTGGCACTCCAAAGCTTGTCCGTCTTCAATCTTGCTATTGAGCTGGCTTATTTCAAAGTCTTTTCTGCCAAGTAAACAGGATGAATGATTACATACTATTTCACATTAAAAATATCTGGTAACACTTTACATTAAGGTTCCATTAGTTAATGTTAGATAATGCATTAAACAACATTAACTTAACAATTAACAAAACATTTGTTACAATATTAATTAAACTTTGTTGACATTGATTGATAAAAAGAAAACTTTTCATTGTTAGCTTGTGTCTGCTAACAGTGAAGCTTAATAATGTGTTAGTGAATGTTTAAATTTACATGAAGTAAGATTAATACATGCTTAGAAGTATTTTTCATTATTAGTTCATGTTAATTATTGTTAACTAAAGTAAACTGGAACCTTATTGTAAAGTGTTACCAAATATCTATTAATATTAAAATTGGTTTGTATATTTTATAAAATATATTACTTCTTTAGCCTCTCCTCCGTCTGCTGCTTATCATTTTCCAAATCCATCACATTCTCTTGAGTCAACTTCAAGTCACCCTCAAGCTTTCTTTTAGCTCTCTCAAGATCCATACGAATTTTCTTTTCTTGTTCTAAAGAACCTTCAAGCTAAATTTCATGCAAAAAAAATATAAAAATTATTGCCTAATTACTTTAAATGTTTCTCATTTTAATTCTAGTGTTGTGTTTTCTGACTCTTACATCATCCACTTGTTGCTCCAGCTTGGCTTTGGCTTTGGTGAGTGTGTTGACTTTGTCTTCCTCACTCTGGAGGTCATCCAGCGTTTGCTGATGGGCCTCCTGAAGAGCTTTCTTCTCCTTGGTCAGCTTAACGATAATCTCATCCAAAGCTGCCATCTCTTCTATCATGTTTTTAACCTGTAGAAATGTGTCATTGTATCAAGGGACTCTTAATTCACCATTCTAGCATCAATAACAAAGTTCAGTGTTGAAAACTGACCTTGTTCTCAGTGGCATGTTTCTCTTTCTCTACTTTGGCCAGAGTGAGCTCTAGATCATCAATGTCTTTCTTGAGCTCAGAACATTCATCCTCTAGCTTTCGTTTCTTTGCAGTCAGCTCAGCATTCATTTCCTCTTCATCCTCCAGTCTCTCAATCATTTCTTTGACTTTGGCCTCAAGCTGGATCTTGCTCTTGATCAGACCCTCACATCTCTCCTCAGCATCTACAAGATTATCTTGCTCCTATCAACATAATAATAATAATAATTGAAAACTTGTTTTGTTTTCTGACTTGTGAAAATGGGAAAAGTGCAGAGTTGTAGTCCCATGTGAACTTACAGTCTGTGCTAATAGCTGCAGGTCGTTCTTCTCTTGGAGAAGAGAAACCATCTTTTCCTCAAGCTCCTTTCTGCGGGCTTCAGATTTGGCATAAGCCTCCTTCAACTTGGTGAATTCCTCCTTCATGTTGGCCATTTCTTTCTCAGTCTCTGCACTTTTCAACAGAGGCTTGATCTTAAAGTAGAGCTTCATCCAGGGCCAATTCTTGACACCCATGAAAGCACGTACATTCCACTGGATCACCAACAAAGAGTCTCTTTGGATATTAAATAAGAAATTTAAGTCTTAAATTATAAAATGTAACATGGAAAATGCGTTAAAGATCGAAGAGCTAGAATCTAACCTTCTTTCCACAATTTTCTGGAACTCATTTCTTGATAGAAAACCACGAGACATGGACTGAATTCCAGTTATAATAAGTGCAAGACGGTCATCTCGCATCTCTTCAAGAGTTCCCAGAAGACCAGCCTTAAAAAAGACCTGAATAGTAAAGAATTTTGCGTCAAATAGGATGACAATGGAAACGTGGCTTTGGAAAAAGTTGATGTTAATAAAATCATACCTTAGTATGTCCTAACTTGTACTGGTTGTGATCGATGTCCAGAGAGCCCAGAAGTTTTTCTGAACCCTTCTTGTTATCTATGAACTGTCCCTCTGGGATAGCGGCAGGATTTAAGATGCGGTATCTACCAAAAAAACAACACACATTAACAATTATTTATATATTTATTTTATTTTATTTCTAGCAAATGCTTACATTTGCAAACAAGAATTAAAGAATTAAGAACTGAAATTTGGAGTCATACATTAAATAATTGTGTAAGACATGAAAGCCATTTGGTTTCTAACCGTTGTTTGAAATCCCCATACAGGACCCTGTTAGGGAAACCCTTTCTGCAGATCCTGATGCCCTCCAGCACACCGTTACAGCGCAGCTGGTGCATGACCAGAGGATTCTCCATCGCCCCTGGAGTCTTAGTCTCATTGGGTATGAGGCAGCGCACAAAGTGAGGGTGAGTTGACCTTAAGTTGGTCATCAGCTTGTTCAAGTTCTCCTGTTGGTAGAGCACAGAGGATTCATATTTATATGCAATAAAACCATATAAGATAAAGCCGTGTTTTAATATTTCATACCCTATGAAGGGCTGACACCGTCTGGAAGGAAGAACCCTTCTTTTTGCTACCTTTGGCAGCTTTTCCTCCAGAATCCGCAGCTGTAAAATAAATTATTTTTGTTATTATTAAATCGTAAAAGTAGTGCTTATTATATTTTCATGTCACACGTCAATGTGTACTTACCTGAGTCATCAGTAGCGTAATTAGCAAACAGAATGGACAACAGCTTAAGAGTTGACTTCTGGAAAAACCCTACAACCGTCTCATTGAGAGGGTCTTTGTTCTTCACCAGCCAGTTTGAAATGTTGTAGTCCACAGTACCAGCATAGTGAACGAGGGCAAAATGGGCCTCTGGTTTTCCCTTGACAATCCTAGGCTTCTGGAAGTTTGGAGTTTTCCCCATATGGTTGTCATAAAGCTTAGCTTTAAATGTTGCATCACTGGCTTTGGGGAACATGCACTCCTCTTCAAGGATGGACATGATACCCATGGGCTACAATGAATTGTAGATCGTGGCAGTCAATATATCAATTTACCACAAGAGTTAAGACCGAAAAATATTATTTTTTCCCTCACAGTATAATCATCAACATGATATTTACCCACCTTCTCAATAAGCTCAATACAAGCCTGCAAGTCCATGCCGAAGTCAATAAAAACCCACTCAATGCCCTCCTTCTTGTATTCCTCTTGCTCCAGCACAAACATGTGGTGGTTGAAGAACTGCTGCAACTTCTCATTAGTGAAGTTGATGCACAGCTGCTCAAAGGTGTTGGACTGCAGATGGAATATATTGTATAATCACAATGGTCAAACAGGTTGCACTTCTTGTTGAATTTGTTCTATGAATAAAAAAAATCAGTTGATTTCAGCTTACATCAAAGATCTCAAATCCAGCAATATCCAGCACACCAATGAAGTACTGGCGAGGCTGTTTGGTGGCCAGGGATTGGTTGATTCTCACAACCATCCAAAGAAACATCTTCTCGTACACTGACTTTCCCAGAGCACCAATAGAGTAGTACACCTAATATAGAAAAGATTGAATTTTGCAGAATTTGACACATTGCAAAATAGAAAGCGATTTTTCAGATACATAAAAGATTTTGTTTGTATGTCTTTGAAAGTGAATTTATGATGCTGAAAATTCTAAATGTCCAGTAGATTATTATTTTCATTCATTACCTGCTGGACACTCTGTCCCTTGGTGACCCACTCATTTCCTACTTTGACTCTTGGGTGGAGCAAACCCTTGATCAAGTCAGCTGAATTTAGGCCCATCAGATATGAGATTTTGTCAGCATCTACATGTTAAAAAGAATACAGAGCTATGACTTTATATACAACATGTTTCCAAGTTCTACTGATTTCAATTTTCCGAGTTATACTGACCCTCAGTCCCATCAGCTTCGGCCTGTTCCTCTCTTTGCTTCTGTTTGAACTTCATGTTGCCAAAGTGCATGACGGAACCAGTCAGCTTGTAGATGCTGTTCTTCTCCTCATGGGTGAAGCCCAACACATCGAACGCTTCCTACAGCAAATGTACAGAGCATGTTAAATATCATGGCAAATGTTTCATATTCTACTTGTTGACAAGTACATTAAAAGTCTTTCTTTTTAAAGAATAGACTGGCCGAGAGAATCAATTTTCTTTCAAGTCGTTCTATACCTGTATGACTTAATTTCTTATGTGGAACACAAAAGTATAGCATGTTGATTATCTTTTCCTCACACAAATCAGGTGGCTTCCGGAAAACAAGTTTTGTGGATCTTTTATGGTACTTTTTAATACTTATTGACAGCCCCTGATCACTATAGGCTTTTATTTTATGGAAATCAGCCAAGACATTATCAATTTATGTTTTACACCAAAAATGCAGTCATACAGGTTGTCAAAAGTGCTAATGGTAACTAAATTCCAAATGCTGGGTGGACTATTTCTTATAATATTTCATAAGATGTGGTGTCTTGTATTGTGAACTGCCTATGTTTTAACAAACACCCACATCAGTGGCCATCAGCTCGTCACCGTCATTAATAGAAGCCACTTGTGTTTCTCCTTGGGAGATAAAGGCGTAGTCATAGGGGTTGTTGGTGATAAGCAGCATCTCTAAGGAGAAATGGCAACATAGTTCAGAAAATATTCTTCTAATTAGAGATGGCAGTGTTAAATGATATGATGGGTAATTTTACCCAGCAGTTCTGGTCTTCTCTGGGACAGAATCTGATAGAAGATGTGGTAGTCTCTCTCAGCCTTGAGCTGAAAAGTGACACGAGACTTCTCCAGCAGATCTAAATGAATTAATAAATAGTTGAATATCAAATCAGTTACACATTTCATCAATGTGTGATTTGTTGGAATGATGTTGGGCAGTACTTACAAGTCTCAATGTCAGCAGAAGATAACTTTCCACTGTGGCCAAAGTGGATGCGGATAAATTTACCCTGTAAATAAAGCAATACATAACACGCTCATATAACATATAATGAAAACCAATATAGAATAACAACAACAATGTAAAAACCCCACTTACAAATCTGGAGGAGTTGTCATTTCTGATGGTCTTGGCGTTACCGAAAGCCTCCAGAGCAGGATTACACTGGATGATTTGATCCTCCAGAGTACCCTGAGAATCATATTTTAACAATAAGTGTGTAAATGGTTTGATGTACCACCTTTCGGTTAACAGACATGCATATTTTCGGACACTATGTAGGGAACGAAGCACTCAACGATTTGTATCATGCCATTAATGAACAACAGACAGTACATCCAGACGGATTCCTCATACTGGCTGGAGATTTTAACCACACAGACCCTAGATCTGTGTTTCCAAAAATATACCAACATGTGGACTTTCCAACGCGGGGGGGGGAATACTTTGGATCTGGTATATACAACTCACAGAGGGGCATATAAAGCTTCACCCCTCCCTCCCCTTGGTTTCTCTGACCACACCACTGTCATGTTAACACCAGCATATAGACCAAGGGTGAAAGTCACTAAACCAATCCAAAGACAGGTACGTGTATGGCCAGAAGGTGCCTCCTCAGCACTTCAGGACTGTTTTGCCACTACAGACTGGGACATGTTTAAAAAGGCTGCAACTTACAACTATCAGACTGATATTCAGGAATATACTGAGACAGTTACTGCCTACATCTCCAAATGCATTGACGATGTAACTGTAACAAAGACTATTTCCATACGTGCTAATCAGAAGCCATGGCTGACAGGAGAGATTCACAGCCTACTGAGGGCACGAAATGCTGCCTTCAGAGTTGGTAATGACGAGGGCCTGAGAATGGCAAGGGCCAACCTGTCCCGGGGCATCAGAAAGGCTAAAAAAACAGTATGCTAAGAGGATAGCCCAGAACTTCGAAGACAGCATAGACACAAGGAGACTGTGGCAGGGAATCCAGACAATCACGGGTTACAAGCCCTCACCACAGACCTGTGATAGTGACATCTCTTTGCTAAATGAACTCAATAGCTTCTTTGCACGCTTTGAAGCACACAACTCCACTCATGCACAGAAGACTATACTACCTTATGACGACCGGGTTCTGTGTCTCTCTCCGACCAGCGTGATGAGATCCTTCTCCAAGATCAACACCCGAAAAGCAGTTGGTCCAGACAATATACCTGGTCGGGTGCTAAAGGATTGTGCAGGAGAGCTCAAAGATGTCTTCACGGACATCTTTAATATTTCTCTGAGCCAGGCTGTTGTACCTACATGCTTTAAAACTACTACAATAATACCAATTCCAAAGAAATCAACCCCATCCGTTTTTAACGACTATCGCCCAGTCGCACTGACTCCTATTGTCATGAAGTGGTTTGAACGGATAGTCCTGCAACATATCAAACACATTATTCCCCCCTCCCTGGACCCTTTCCAGTTCGCATATCAGGCCAACCGATCCGTCGATGATGCAGTTTCTGTTGCTCTTCATTCAGCTCTCTCTCACTTGGAAACAAAGAACTCTTATGTTTATAATGCCTAATTCATTCATTCATTTATTCATTCATTCATTAATTCTTATGTGAAAATCTTTTTTATAGATTTTAGCTCGGCTTTTAATACCATCATTACACAGCAGTTAATACAGAAACTAGACCAGCTTGGCCTAAACAACTCCCTGTGCAACTGATTGTTGGACTTTCTTACTGGAAGGCCACAGGCAGTTCGGGTTGGTAAAAACACATCTAGCACCATCATATTGAACACAGGGGCCCCAGGGATGTGTTCTTAGCCCCCTGCTTTTTACTTTGCTAACCCATGACTGTTCACCAATGTACAGCACAAATCGTTTTATTAAGTTTGCGGATGACACAACTGTGGTGGGTCTCATCAACAACAATGATGAGACAAACTACAGAAATGAAGTGTGCCAACTGGCCAGGTTGTGCAGTGAAAACAATCTCTGTTTAAACGTAGAGAAAACAAAGGAGATTGTTGTGGACTTTCGGAGAGCTCATACCCAGCACCCTTCTTTGACCATCAATGGTGCTGCTGTGGAGTAAGCAGCACCAAGTTCCTGGGTGTGCACATAACAGAGGACCTCTCCTGGTCTACAAACACCACATCACTGGCCAGAAGTCACTGGCCAACAGCGCCTTTATTTCCTCCGCAAACTGAAGAAAGCTAGAGCCCCGGCACCCATCACGTACTCTTTTTATCGTGGTACCATTGAGAGCGTCCTGACATGCTGCATCACTGTGTGGTTTGGTAATTCCACTACTCACAACCAGAAAATGCTGCAGTGAATAGTGAATGCAGCCGGAAAAATTGTAGGTGCTACATTGCTTCCCCTCAATGATATTTATAACTCCCAACTAACCAAAAAAGCATAATAGGTGATCCCACCCACCCCTCACACGGCTTTTTTAGACTTTTGCCATCTGGGAGGAGGTTTCGGAGCCTGCAGGCCCGAACCACTAGACTGACAAAAAGTTTTATCCACCAGGCCGTCAGGAAATTGAACTCTCTCCCTCCTGCCTTTTTAGTACTTCCCTCTTTGCACTGAACTTTGACTCTTTGTCATAATAGCAAATGGATATGCACACATGTATATATTCACGCATACATATAAGCATTAGTGATCGACCGATATATCGGCCGGCCGATATATCGGGCCGATATTTGCGATTTTTACGTGTATCGGAATCGGCCGATATGCGGCTGCTGCGTTCGCCGATAGTTTTTTCCCGGCATTATTTATAGACAGGCGTCCACAGGCAGCTCTGTGCTGCTGGAGACGCTGCAGTTCACGTGCAGACCCTGCACTGTCCCTCCCCCACTAGCAGAGTGCAACCTGCGCTTCAAGATAACGGTAACTTTTAAACTTTCAAAGCATCTTTTAACTGTTTGACTGCTGAAATATTGTCAAACACTTTGAAAATGGAAACACGTTGCTTTATAACTGTTATGTGGTTGCAACTATATAGCTAAGCAAGTTTGTGGGTCCAAATGGAAAACGCGAATGACTCGTCTATAAAACTGCTTGCTTGCCATTGTATTTAGGGAGCTGCAAATAGCTGTAGGCTATCCGTTCAGTATGCATTAGGGCTGTCAATGAATATTCTAAATACGAATATATATTCGAATAGTTTAAAAAAAACTGAATTTTGAAGGTGAAAATTAATATTCGAATGTGGAAAAACACGCCCGCGGCAGCAGACTAACGTTACCACAGCACAGCTCGCTCGGAGCGCTCAGTGTCGGTTCTATGTACTGTGAAACTTCAATTAATGTATTTGTTTCAATCACTGAATGAAGCCTGCTATATACCTTAAATTGCTTGCACAAAACTCTTGATCAGCACTCAACATTTGTTTGTTGTTGTTCATTTAAACCGGTATGCGCGGAGAGCGTGAGGGTGAGTGCGAGAGAGAGAGAGAGAGAGAGAGAGAGAGAGAGAGAGTGCGCCTGCGCGTCCGGGCGAGCCAGAGTGAGCTCTGCGGTCTTGGCCATTAGTTGATTTACTCGTTTTTTTTGTAGTAATACGTTGTCAAATATGTTTAAACTCAAATAAGCTACTTAATACTATTAGTTATGTCTCTTTGTATTAATTTGTCCTGTTATTGACGTAATGCGCGTCATTGACCAAATGCACGACGATATGCTCAAATATGTTTTTTAGAGGGAATATACAAACGCCATTTGAACAATTTTGACAGCCCTAGTATGCGTACGGTAGCTGTTACGAACACTGGTCATAGGATTAAGTAATACCAACGTTGTTCCGTGCTTTTTGCGACCACCTGGCTGAGGTTTGGACGCGTGTGGTGTGTGTCTCCCTCGCCATCGCAGTGATATTAGAGACTAGACATGCTCATTTTATTTTATGTAGACAAATTTAAACCATGGCAGTAAATAGTTCGTTACTTTTAAAATGAAGTACAGTGTGCACTGTGCACTTTATTATGCTGGTTGCTACTGTGTGCAATAGTGTAATTATTTTATTTATGCTTAAATATTTATTTTCAGCAGTGAACTTTTTTTTGTTCTACCTCATGTTTTTAATATTTGTTAAATATTGTTTATCTACTTGTTCTTGTTCTACCTCACATGTTTTTACTATTTGTTAAATATAGATTTTTTTACGTTAAATAAATGTTACTTTTATTAAATTGAGACCTGTAACATTTGTTAACATCATGTCATTTTTATGATGTAAATTGAGGGAGCAAAATGTATCGGCTCCAAATATCGGCTCAAGAAAATCGGCAGCCCGTATCGGTCATCGGCTAAGGCTGATGGGGAAAAAATCGGTATCGGTATCGGCACTAAAAAAATCCATATCGGTCGATCCCTAATAAGCATGCATGCACACATGCACATACACACATATACATACAAACATACGCACACACATAGATACATACATACGAACACAATGCACTAGACACTTAAAAAAAAAAAAAATGCTGCTTTTATACTTATAATCTATTGAAACAATCATGTGCCGTATGTTTATATTGTGATTTTATATATAATTTTTGATTAATTGTCTAGTGTTGTGTTGGGGATTTTAACACCATGGGTCTGAGGGAAACGGAATTTCAATCCTCTTTATGTTATATGTGTACATATATGTGTGTGTATGTATCTATATATATGGGTGTATATATAGATATATTTATACTTATAGTTTTTTTTTTCCTGTCTATTCTATATTTCTCTCCTTCGAGTATGATACTAGTATTAAACCTGTTACTGTCTTCTCTGTTTTATTTTCTACTACTGATAGTCTCTGAGACTTCTTGGACGTCTCCCGTTTTAAGCTGTTCTTAACCTGTTGTACTGTTCTATGATGTGCTACTACGCATGGTGTTGGTGTCTTTTAATTTTGTAGTTCTGTGAAGCACTTTGGTCAGTCAGTGGCTGTTATAAAATGTGTTATATAAATAAAATGAACTTGAACTTGTAAGAATTGACAAATAAATTGAACTTGAACTTGTAGTAATAATAATAATCCATAGAGAATCTAAGTCATCTCTTTCAAATTATATAGAAATATAATTGGGAAAACAAACATGTTGTTTGTTACGTGTAAATGCATTGCAATATGGTACAAGTAAGGGAGTATTAAATTATGACAATTTGTGACTCCAATATTTAATAATATTTAATTCCAATTTTGAAGACATCTTTAATTTAGTAATTATTTTGTGTATGCTAGTAGTAGGTATATTCATTCTTCCATAATGAGCCATTTTTGGGGCATTAAGCACCTTTTTCTCCATTGATGGATCCTTCTTGCCGGTTGTTGCTGCTGCAATGCTCGCAAAGTACTGGATCACTCTTTTAGTGTTCACAGTCTTTCCAGCACCGGATTCTCCACTTAGGATAAAAACGGTTATTAAAATACAGCATTGAAAGAAAATATTAGTGAAAGGAGGAATATTATGCTACGGCATAATATGTATTACATACGTGATCAGAACAGACTGGTTTTCTCTGTCTGTGAGAAAATAAAACATAAGAAACTTACCATTTGAAATTTCATTAGAAAAATCCAAAAAATAACAAGGCAGATCATCACCTGACAGCATGTACTGGTAGGCATTGTCTGAGATGGAGAAGATGTGTGGAGGGGCCTCAGTTCGTTTCTTTCCTCTATAGGCATTGACGACTTCCTGGTTGTACACTGGCAGCCACTTGTAGGGGTTCACAGTGACACAGAAGAGCCCAGAGTAGGTCTGTAAGAGATTCACAGAAGGTTTAGATCTGCTCATGCAAGATAAAGAGAACGTGTGAGTGTTTTAAGACTCGACTCACGTAGATCATCCAGGCTGCGTAACGCTCTTTGAGGTTAAACAGCACAGCGGGCTCGTGCAGGAAGGTGAACATCGCCATGTCCTCAATTTTATCAAACTTTGGCGGGTTCTGGGGGTGAACATCAGCCTCCTTCACAGTTACTGTCTGTGGATAACACACAAAAATGTTTTGACAGTCACTCTTGTACTTCTACTAGTGTACTTCTGTCTACAATCTACAACAATGCAGAGATTAGATCTTACCTTCCCGAATTCAGTGTCAACAGTGACTTTGTCACCGTCTCTATTGGTGACAGAGGCTTTGACGTACTCAACCGCAGGGTCGGGCACAAAGCATTCTTTCTTCATGTCGAAGGGGCGAGTTTGGGCCTCCAGACGCTCCTTGTCTGACTTTCGTAAGAACGGGGCAGCTGGCCCGAACTCTGCCATCACAGCATCCCCCATCTTTCAATCAGACTGAGAAATAGATGACAAAATTCTCTGAACTTTTACAACTTGTTTACAATATAAATTAAATATAATTATTTATGAATATAAAAATATAAAATATTTCTCATTAATTATTGCATTCAAAAAGAAAATATTGCATAAACATAAATGCATACACACGCACACACAATGTGTTAACCTTTATAAAAGCATGTCTTACCAGATGAAATCCAAACCCAAAATGTCCAAATCCTTTCAATAAAAAAAGAAACTTCATTAATGAGAAGTCATCTTATTCTATTGTTCAGTCCTCATAAACAATTTTACCTAAATTATGTGTGCTCTTACCTTTAGATGGCACAATGATGTGAGCTTGCAATATTGTGCTGTAACGTATCTCTTTATATAGAGGCACAATGAGTGTGACGTTGACCATCTGTATTTGGTCATTATCCTGGTCACTTGTGTGTGTAGCTCTTTTTGGGTGCCTGAAAAAATATTTGTGTGAGTCATAGTAGTTTAGCATGTGGTGTGTGATGATAGCGCTAAAGATTAGATGAGTCACAATAGTTAAGCATGTGGTGTGTGGCGTTAGCGGAAAAGATCAGAAAGGATCTAAGATCACAATGGTGCTATTTTTTATAGATATGAGATCTTTACTAAGTTTTTTATACTGAAATATACACCTTCACTTTCGTATTTTGTAGTTAGTTTCATAGGCCAGATTCACAACATGTCTGTTTTTTATGTACGTAAAGCATCATAGAGATTCTTCTATCTATAATGTATCTGAACCATAGTTGAACTTTCACACAATCCTTTTTAAATAAAATTGCTTATTTGACAGTTAGATTCCAGCAATAATGTGCTAGGATGCTTTTCTAGAACTCTGTGTCATTTTCTGTCCTCAAAGAGAGACAGGCATGCACTGGGAATTCCACAGGTTTAGCTTTGTGCTAAAGGATGAAAACAAGGTAACAATGCCTCACAAGCAAGACGGCTGTCACGGAAGATTAAAATTGTCAGTAGACAGCTGTAACGGCAACAATGAATATCTGCAATTGTGACCTTTTGTTCTCGCCTAATGCTGAGACAGCTGCAACTCTTGCTTGTTATTGTTTGTTGCTATGACCTTTCTTGATTTCCCAATGCTATATCCTTCATCTTTGTTTTACAGGTTGTATTAAGTTCATTTGCAGTCATTAAAATGAACAACAGCTTCATTCATGTTCATCCATGTTCACCCCATTCATTCTTGAAAAAGATTTTCCAGCTTTACAAAGATTCCCAAAACAAATCCATGAAAGTATTCTGTAGGATACAAAATGTAATTTGTATGTTTACAGAAGTTAATATATTCTGGATACATTACATCAGTGTTACTTTTTCTGTGCATCAGTTAAAACGAAGATGCTTATAATTATTCCTTCTTAACAGATAGAACATGGCAAGCAGGTCAAACTTACTGTCTTAGCCACAGATCTGTTTCTTAACACCGTTAATGTATTGTCAGCTCTACAGCATTGATTTTTTTGGGCAGCCGTGTGAGCCATCACTCAAGACCTTTTGTGAGGTTTCTAACCTGCCATGACCTCTCGTCCCTCAGTTATTCTGCACCCTTTCAACAAGCACCTTACTTAGTCTTAGCAATTGGGCAATCTATTCTAGGCCCCTCATCCTTTACAGAGCCTCATTCTCAGCTGTCTTTTTACCCTTGTTTATTAAAACTCAGGAGCAAGAATGGAAGAAATGGGGGCAACCTTATTTCTAATAAAGATTGTAATCCTTTTGTAATCCTTGAGCTTTCTTTTGTCACTGGGTGCACTAGAATGGTCTTGCATCTGTTGGTCTAAATAGGATTCCATTGTGTCTCTACTTTCTACTTCTGCTTCAGACCATTTAGCTAGTTTTGCTACCAAAATGTTTATTTAAAAGCTGGAGTAGGTGTTATTCTTAGGCATTAATCAATGGCACATTGATTAAACACAACAGTGGCATTCTTGTTGTAGTTTAATTGAGATACACAGTGGGTTTAAAAACAAGCTATTATAGTTAATTATAACTAAAACCATAAAGATTTTCATTACTTGAAATGAACATTAACTGAAAAAAATGCAAACTTCATTTCAGCTTGTTGACAGCCAAGGCAACATGTCTCATTTTAATTTAGTTTAACTTTTACTTAATGATGTACTAAAATAAAAATGAATACATTTTTTAATTTAAAACTTTAACTAACAGGGTTCCCACGCTTCTTGAATGTACTTGAAGTTCTTGAATTTCAAACACATGGATATAAGGACTGGATATGTTAAACAAGCATAGGTCCTTGGAAGTGCTTGATTTAAACATGAATTACATTTTGTTAGAGTAGCATGGTGCTATTAAAAAAATTGGCCTTCATGCGCTGCCAAAGCCAGAACAAAGTAGCGCTACTGATTGGGGAGGAAGCGGGAAAAACCTGAAAAAAAGCAGCGTGAGCATATAGATCGTGATCACATGCAGTCAGCCCTGCATGATGAACCCTTGAGAAGCATGGAGCTGTTTAACTAGCTCAGTGACAGGTAAGTGCACATTCAGTGATGCTTTTCTCAGTATTGAGCCATATAAAAATTGGTTTATCAAAGTTCCAACAAATAGCAATTAGTAACCCAGTGTTTAAAAGCACATTGCTGCTTTGTTTACCGAGGTTTATGGGGAAACCAATATATTTCTGCTGTTCCATAAGCCATCTACTTTCAGAGAATGAAATTGCATTTTCAGCGCATCTCTCATTTTTGTTCAGACTAAAGGTTCAGACTGTCACAAAACTTTTCGTTCCATTGACTCTCATTCATACGCATGGGAATGCGTCAGACCGCAAGCGTGTCTGAAAAGTTTCTAATTTCGCTGTGTTCCGAAGTTCAAGTTTGGTGAACTCTGACCTGCAAATTCGCAATCACGTGTTGTAACCCTAATTCCCTGATGGTGGGAATGGAGACGTTATGTCGACTGACATTAGGGGTCTCACTTAATAATAATTTGTTACGTTTATATAGCGCTTTTCTCTGCACTCAAAACGCTTTACATAGAAGATACTGGGGCGTAAGGACCCACCCAGACCACAGGGGGAGCACCCCCTGGTTGCCTTACTTATACCTCTTCCAGCAGCAACCTAGTTTTTCTAGGAGGTCTCCCATCCAGGTATTAACCATGCTCAACCCTGCTTAGCTTCAGTGGGCAATCAGTCTTGGGCTACAGGGTGATATGGTTGCCCCAATCACCTCTTAAGTTTTAGGAACTTAGAGGTGATTTTTAGGAAAATGGCCAATGGCCAATTGGCTAGTGGAACTTGCATGCCTTGCCACTCGCCCAAACATATGGGTATAAAAGATGGTGGCATGCATCCTCTCATTATGTTTGTGCTGAAGAGCCAAGATTGTGTCCTGGTCATTTAGCGGGGTAGTACAATGTTGTAGCAGGAGGGACATAACGAGGGATACGACAGTAACCGAGACGTTCCCTTTCTGTCAGTCACGTTCAATGTTATGTTGATTGACATTAGGGGTCCCTATGGAAAGCGCCACAACCACTGAACTGTGTTACGAGTGTTGGCGATGCAGATGCTGGCAAGCTGTAGCGTGCCCTTTGGCAACTGCCCTCGCTAAGTCATAACCTACCGAGCTCCCCATGTAAGACAAAAAGTCCTCCATGCCTGACCGGATGGAATGGTCGGGGCTTACCATGGAGACGGTTATTAGCACTCAAAGAACTGCACGAGGGTAGTTCCGAGCCGTAGTTGATGCATTAACTGTGCACAGCTACCAACTTTGCTCTCCGGACAATAGCGCGCGGGCCCTCGGCTAGACGATGTCCACCTTGGTGGCCCAGGAATGGCACCTCTGGCTGAACCTTCCAGAGATGCAGGATGCCAACAAAGTGCACTTTCTCGATGCCCCCATCTCGCAAGGAAGCATCTTAGACGACACTTACAGGACTTTGCCCGGCAGTTTTCTTCAGTCCAAAAGCAGACGGAGGCCATCAAACATCTTACCCTGGCTTGATATCACCGCCACCAGGCTGGCCCCCAGTCTGCTTGTTGCCAAGGGAATTCCCCCAAGGCTTCTACACCTGCTCCAACGGCCCCACGGAGGACATCTTCAGTCCCACTCCCAACCCCAACACCACCACCCCGCTGCGTGGACATGATGGCTGAGCCCACCTCTGACGGAGAGCCAATGCCTGCCGCGATGGAAGAGCCAATGCTAGAAGGAGCAAATGAGCCAACCGTCACCCCAGAGTCTGAATCTCAAGAGATGTCTGACCAGGTGTGTGAGGGGGTCAGTGATCATTTCTGGTTAGCATCTCAAAGTGTTGGGTCAAGCGGATGTTTTTTCAAGGTTGAGCTAAAAAAAAAGGGGGGGAGGTTTTTTTTTTGTGCCATGTTACTTACAGGATTTTAGTGTTTAGCATGAGTACCTCATTAAGACCTTCACTCTGGAGTATCTTTTCCTTTAGCTGCCAGGTCCATCTCTTGCTATGACGAGGTGGAACATTCCGATCCACACTCTTCCCTGAGACGGAGGCAGTTCATTCTCAGCCCTTTGTTGCCTCAGCTCACCAAAAGGTCAATGACTTTGTGCATCATGACCATTGAGCAGGCTATTATTGGAGAATGAGGGGGTCTGTTTGTTTGATTTGTCCACTAGAGGTCCCATGATGATTTTGACTGAATTGCTTGTCATTTCTTCATTATCCCTTGTTCGAGCCAGCTGTATGTAGACAGAGAATACAGGTATTAATTTTTGCACAATGTACCCCTATCTTTGTCTATCAATCTATATTTATCTATCTGAATTTGATTGTTCTCCACAAGAATACATTATGCTTCCATTAGAGAAATTGGCATGACTTTTGACCTCTGCTCTACAAAGGTTTCTTTTTCCCTCACTCTCTTTCCCTGGTTTTTCTATCTCAGCCACACAAACACTGTGCTCCCTGCAGGAGAAGATCCAACACATCTCTGAAACACAGATGAAGGTAATGCAAAGCAATGCTTTTTATTTTTAGTTGCTCAGTGTTGTGATTGACAGGAAACATGTTTAAAATATTATATTTAATAAATACTGAATTAATATTGTTTAATTAACTAAAAACAATCACATAATCATATGTGAGAACCATTACAGTTTTTCTCAATCGCTTAGGCACATTTTTCGAAACCGTCTTAACATTTTCTAAACTGTAAGTGCAACTTCCACAACTGTTTGGATTGAGCATCAGATAAACTATCGCATGTCTGCAAAATGTAGTTACTCACCTAAAACATTTAATTCATGCTTCAAAACCCAGTTAATGTGTCAGTAATTTGGCCAATGCCACCAAAATAAAAAGTGTTTTTGCCATTGTGTGAGCCACACTGGTCAAAATGTTTAGATGTATTTTCTCCATGGAAAATATTTGTTATAGACAAATTGTATGTGTTTTCTACTTTTTAGTTGACACCATCTGTTTTCTACACCAATGTCACTTACTTACAAGAATGTCAGTTTTGTCTAGCTGAATGCTCTTGTGTATCACACTGAGTTTTTTAGATACAGATTTCATCAGTGGGTAAAATTTTACTAGGGAAAGTCAATACTGTAGTACACAAAAAGAAAATAGACATTAGGTGTCCTTTTGTACTATGTACTTACATTAAAAATAAGTACAGTGTACTAATTG